GCTGCGCGGGTGTTGTTGGGAACGCAACAGTCACATTTCAGGCGGTCGATGACTGCGGTAACATGGACCAGGCCAATGCCACAATTGTGCGCCGCGACACAACACCGCCCGTGTTTGTTGAATTCCCCGATAACGTTACCGTTTCGTGCAGCGCAGCCGAGCCCACCAATTTTACCGTCGCTGTCACCGACATTTGCACAGGGAATGCAACCGTGGTGCTTGCTCAGACTTGGACCGAGCCCAGCGCAACCTGTGCTCACGCATACACGGTGTTTCGCACCTGGACGGCCTCGGATGTCTGCGGCAACAAGCTGAACCTCACACATACCGTGAACGTTGTCGACGAGACGGCCCCCACGCTGCCCAGCGGCGTACCCACCACGGTCCTTGAGTGCAACGCTGACTCAACTCGAGATGACGTCACAGCCCTTTTGGAAGCGCATGTCAACATTTCAGCAGCCGATGCGTGTGGTGGTAATGCCATCACCTGGTCCTTTGATGCTCTCAACCTGTCTTCGACCCTGACCGGCAACTACTCAGCCCAGCTTTACGCACATGATGACTGCGCCAATGTGTTGCCTGTGGCGGCCCCGATCAGTATTGTGGATACCCAACCGCCGGTGCTCTCCAATCTCTCCGTGGCCATGGCCTATGAGTGCGATGCAGTCCCGCAGACCGAAGACGTCGTCGTCCGTGATGCCTGTGATACCAATGTGCAAGTGGTTTTTGGGGACAACATCACCCAGGGCCAATGCCCTCAAAGCTACACCCTGGCCCGCACGATCTGGGCCACGGACAATGCTGGGTGGCAAGACAACTTTACGCAATTCTTGACCGTGGTTGATACCACAGCACCACAGTGGGTTGCCCCACCGGCCGACGTTGTGTTTGAGTGCGATGGTGCAGGCAATACCGCCAACGTGACGTGGTGGTTGGAATCCTTTGGCAATGGCACGGCCCAGGATGCCTGCTCAAGCAACGTGACCTGGCAATCAAACGGCGCCAACGCCACCTGGTCCCAAGGCTGTGGTCAGACGCTGGCAACCTCAGTTCAATTTAGCGTGCAGGATGAGTGTGGCAATGTTCGGACGCACACCGCGTCTTTTGCTGCTCTCGACACCCAACCCCCCGTGCTGTACTGGGCCAACACCACCGTTGCGCCTGTGTCGACTGCAGCCCCTGCCTCGATCACGGGCGCAAGCACGTCAAATACGAGCTCGAGCGCGTCGACCACGACTGGGCCGGCCGCCACCTCAGCACCGGCTGGCGATGAGCCAGTGTACTTGGTCGGCCCACCGCCCAACATGACTCTGGAATGCATCGGTCGGGCTGGCCTTGAGCCCACGCGCCCTGATCCGTATATGGTGATGGCACGGGATGTGTGCTCGGGTTCAGAATATGACGTTGCCTACGAGGAGACGCGACATGATGGACACTGCATGGGCCTCGTACGCTACGTGCGGGCGTGGACCGCGGTGGACAGCTGCTCAAACGCTGGCACCATGTATCAAACCGTTGCCATCCAGGATACCACCCCTCCTCAAGTGCAGAGCCCGCCCCAGGATCTCCAATTGGAGTGTGATCGCGAAAGCTCTGCTGGCCAGCTGCAGCAGTGGCTCGACGCAGCCGGCTACGGGATAGCCGAGGACACGTGCTCGGACGTCACTTGGAGCCACAACCTGACAGATCCAATGACTACATTCCACGCATGTGAAGGGATGAACAGCATGGTCGTGCGCTTTACCGTGACTGATGACTGCGGGAATGCCGCCCATGCTTTTGCCACAGTGAATGTGGTCGACACGCAAGCGCCCATCATTACGGCCATGCCCCCCGCGCACACCATCGAGTGTGACTTGGCTAGCCAGGATGCACAAATTGAAGCCTGGCTGCTCCAGTCTGGTAACGCTCTGGCTGTCGACGGATGCAGTGATACGCTCTCACGCAACTATACCTCCAGTCAGCAAACCATGTGCGCCAATACCAAGGTTGTGACGGCCAATTTCAGCTTTACGGACACCTGTGGCTGGCAAGCCAGCGCCTTGGGTACTTTGAGCGTGCAAGACACGGTACCGCCCACCATCATCCTACGCGGATCAAATGCCACCACCTCGGAAGCTGGTTTTGCGTGGCTTGATCCGGGAGTGGAAGCGGCGTTTGATACATGCCAGGGCGCCATCAACATTAGCATCGTGCAACGTCAGCACAATGTTAACATCTCCACTCTAGGAGAGCAGGCGATCGAGTACGCAGTGGCCGATGACTGCCAAAACACAGGCAGTATCGTGCGACTCGTGACCGTGCAGGAC